AGAGGTTGATAAACTAAGACAAAGGAATATTAGTGTTAGATGTGACCTGACAGGCTATGCATAGAACAGATGTAATAAAAATATTGCTGAGGTTCTGTTAAACAATCATGACAATTGTTTCTGTTCACTTAGTGAAGGAGAATGGCTAAGTGGAAAAGAGCTGTTATAGAATGGGAGTCTTATAACAATTGCTAATTTTGAGTCCTTTCAAATCCTTGCATTTCTTTTTGTGCAGAGAATGAATTTTATTGCTAGGAAAACAAATATGATGCTGCTAGCTAGCATAGAATTGTACTGCTGCAGTGTCAGGAGGATAATCACTGCTTAAGGGCTCCAAGTACAGTACTTTAAGCATTTATGCATTACAGGATATAAATGCTCTATTTAATTTCTCTTTGCTGTTTTGTTCTGTAAACTTCTCTGAGGCTGGTATCAAAAAATTATATAAGCAGAAAAACCAACAGATGTCTTTTCAGGGGCCAGAGTATCTATAGAAGATATTTGCTGGTAAAGCAATGCTACCAGGCACGCACGTTCTGGGAGGTTCATGCAGTGCATGGGAGATAACTTTCTGATGAAAGTGATGGAGGACTCAAGGAGGAGAGACGTGCTGCTGGACCTTGTTCTTACAAACAAGGAAAGACTGGTTGGGAGTGGGAAGGCTTGGGAAGCCTTGGATGCAGCAACAATGTGAAAGTGGAGTTCAAGATGTCATGTGGAAGAAACAAAGAAATAAATAAGATTGTAGCCTTGTACATCAGGAGAGCAAACTTTGACCTCTTCAAGAACCTGCTTGGAGGTATCCTATGAGTTAGGGCATTGGAATGTAAAGGGCCCTAAGTGTTGGTTGACATTCGAGCACCACTTCTTCCAATCTCAAGATTGATGTGTCCCCAGGAGTAAGAAACAAGGCAAACTTGGCAGGAGACCTGCACGGATGAGCTCATGGAAAGACTCAAGTGGAAGAAGAATGTCTTTGGAACGTCAAAGAGGGGTCTGGCCATGTGGGAGGAATATGGAAACATTGCTAGTGCATGTAATGGTGCGATAAGAAAGGCTATGGCCTGCTTGAAATTAAATCTGTTGACGGAGGTCAAGGAAGGACAACAAGAAAAACTTGTTGTCAGTGTGTCAGTAGCAAAAGCAAAGTTAGGGAAAACGTAGGCCCACTGCTGAATGAGGTGGATGAAAAGAAAGGTACTGGGATTGCTCAGCATGGATTCAGCAAGAGGAAATAATGATTGATCAATCTGGTAGCCTTATATGATGACATGATCAGCTGGGTAAATGAGAGGAAAGCAGTGGATGCTGTATACCTTGACTTCAGCAAGGCTTTGGACACTGTCTCCCAAAGCACCCTTGTAGGTAACCTTAGGAAGTATGAGATAGATGAGTGGACAGTTGAGAACTAGCTGACTGGCAGAGCTCGGAGAGCTGTGATCAGCACCACAGCGTCTAGTTGGAGGCCTTGGAAGGCTATTGGAATTTCCCAGGGCATGGTACTAGGCTTGGTTACGTTCAACACCTTCATCAATGACCTAGATGGTTAGATACAATGGACCCTCAGCAGGTTTGCTGACGATATGAAGCTGGGAGGAGTGGTTGCCACACCAGAAGGCTATGCTGCCATTCAGTGAGACCTGGACAGGCTGGAGAATTGGTTGGAGATGAATACGATGAGGTTCAGAAAGGGCTAGTGTTTAGAGGCCTACATGTGGAGTGGGAAAACTGCATGCATCAGTAGAGGTTAGGGACTGACATGCTAGAAAGGAGTTTTGTCTGTCCCCTTATTTCAGTCTCCTTTATTTGGCTATTGAGCAAGCACTGAATGTCTTCCTTTGTGTACTTAGGATGTCTGGAAGTGGCTATCATCTCTTTAGAAAGATAAGTGGGTGTAGGCCATGTTTTCCAAGATAGAAGTGCCTCTGTCCATGCTTCCAGGTTGCAGAAAGCAGCATGATTCCGTATTTCTTTTGTCAGCTGATGGGATGCACTGGAATGGTGCAGAGGTGCACTGTGTCCAGTTTTGGGCCCCTCACTGCAAGAAAGACATTGAGGCCCTGGAGTGCGTTCAAAGAAAGGCGACAACACTGGTGAAGGGTTTGGAGCACAGGTCTTATGATGAAGGAGCTGGGATTGTTCAGTCTGGAGAAGAGGAGGCTCAGGAGAGACCTTATTGCTGTCTATAACTACCTGAAGGGAGGTTGTATTGAGCTGGGGGTTGGCCTCTTCTCCCATGGAACTTGTGATAAGACTAGAGGGAACGGCTTCAAGATGCACCAGGGGGGATTCAGGCTGGACATCAAGAAATACTACTTCTCTGAAAGAGTGATCAGGCACGGAAATAGGCTGCCAGGGAGGTGGTTCAAGGAATGTTTGGATGTTGTATGGAGGGACATGGTTTAGTTAGAACTATTGGTGATCAGTAGACAGACTGGGTGATCCAGTGATTCTTTTCAAACCTTGGTGATTCTGTGATCCTCCCTCAATACTTAGCTCTGCTGATGCCACCTATGGAGTACCACCCCCAGTTCAAGAAAAGCAGGGAATTTCTTGAGAGACTCCATTGAAGGGCTGCAAAGAGGATGAGCGGCCTGGAGCACCTCCTTTAAGAGGAAAGCCTGAGAGACTGGGAACCATTCAGCCTGGAGAGGAGAAGACTGAGGCGACCTTATCAGTGCTTATAAATATGTGGCGGGCAGGAGTCATGTGGATGGAGCCAGGCTCTTTTCAGTGGAGCTCAGCAAGTGGCCAAGCGTGAATGGCACAGAGTGAAATGCAGAAAGATCTGCAGAAGCATGAGGAAAATCTTCCTTCCTTAGAGGGTTTACTGAGCTCTGGAACAAAGTGCGCAGTGAGGATGTGGAGCGTCCTGCTCTGGAGATACTCAAAAGCCGTCTGGACGCTTTCCTGTATAGTCTAGTCAAGGGCACCTGCTCTAGCAGGCGGGTGGGACTAGATGGTCTGCAAGGGTTCCTTCCAACCCCCAAGCCTCTGTGATTCTGTGAAGGAGAGAAAATTGAGAGAGTAAGACGCTGTGGTGCAATGAGAAGAAGCTGGTGCTGGAATGAAAGTTTGGAATGACGGACTGTGTCAGCGAATGGCGTCGTGGAATGAATGAAAGACACGACATGTGATCCTGAGAGGTGAAAGACTGGCAGCAGCGCGGGTGCTCTGTCCCTTGGTCTGTGTTACAGCATTCAGCCAGCTGAGATGGCGGCCGAGGTGGAAGTGCATGTGCAAGAGTGCGCAAGGTGTTTGGTGTGCAAGTGTGCAAAGAATGGCAAAGTGTGCGGGTCAGAAACATCAGCACCTTTTGTTTCACAGCACTCCACGGGAAGAGTTTGTAAGAGAGCCTTTATTTATATAACTGCTTTCTCAGGAGAGGATGGGCTCAGGAGCGCTGGCAGCAGCAGCACAGCTGACAGGTTCCTTGTGCTTCTGTCTTTACAGTCCACGAAGGGCGATGTGGGAGGGAAGGGCCCGCACAGGAGGGCATCTGCTGGGCTGTGTGCTGCACTCGTGCTGTCCTGATCACATCCTTCAGAAGAGCAGCACGCTGCGAATGCTGGAGAGGGAGGAAAGGAAGGGAGGAGTTACAAGTGGTGCTACTGGCAGAGCCTGCGAGCTGACAAAAGTGCCGCTTCAGGAGCTGCTGCGCATCACTCCTGTTGGTCCGAATCAGAATCTCACCTTTTGCCTGCACGTAGCAATTCAAATCCCTCGTTGATTTTAGCAAATGGCAGCGTGTGTGTGATCAGCAAATCGGAGTTAAATTTCTTCTCCAAATAGCTGGCAACTAATTTGGGGATAGAGTCTCTCATTTTCCAGCCTGGAAATGGGAGAAATGGCATGCAGTGAATAACTGGAGAAATGCTGATTTGGTATAGAACCCTTGGTGGAGTTGCTTGGTGCCGGATCTTTCAAGAGGGTCAGGAAGTTGATAAAATATCTGTCGATTTATTGTTATGTTGGATGCAAGTATATATATGGTGATATTTCAGTGTTCATTTTCACTTCCAGCTTTAACATTAGCCGCCTCTCAAGAGACTTTCTGGGATGTTGCCCTGGAGCTGTGTACATTGCTGAACAGTTTAACGGCATGCTCAATGGAGGGGCTAATGCATGTACTGGAGCATATTTGTTCCAGAGACATTTGGGAATTCCTGTGAAGGAGAAGGCTGAAATGTCTAAAATGTCTTTCTTGGCTTCCTACCTCCAGCCACAGTCCCTTTACAGGTGCGCCCACTTAGTAGAAGGAATGGATCAATGGGAATTGTTGAACCAGCAGGTGGTATTCCAATCAAGACACAGACTCCAGTGTTCATATTGCAAGAGGCCAGGGCAGCAATCTGGTGGGACAGGAAGCACTTTAGCTGAGTTTGTCATAAATGCATTCTTTCCTTGCAGGTTTGTGCCTCCCTGGTACCTAATAATGGAGGCTGTTTTCTGCACCAGCCTTGGAAAGCTCCATTCCTGCTGTTACACTCCTGAATCATTTCTCCCCAAGCAGAATGGCCTGAAGTGCAGGCATATGTGATGGAAGATGTCTGATGGGATTCTGGGAAGGAGGACGTGCTAAAATGTCACATACCAGGGTATCTGCGGTCCCAACAACCTCAAAGGAGCAGTCCACGCCGTGACCGGTCATCTCGGTGAGCACCTGCTGGATAGGCTTCTTGAAGTCTTTAGGGTTGATGCACTCGGTGGCTCCCATCTCTTTGGCCCTGGCAAACTTGTCCTCGTTGATATCGATGGCAATGATGCGGGACGCTCCAGCTGCCTTGCAGCCCATGACAACAGAGAGGCCGACTCCGCCGAGGCCAAAGACAGCACAGGTGGAGCCTGGTTTTACCTGCATGACGTGGGGCTGGATTAGTCTCCTGGGTGAGGAGGAAGTTTCTATTGCTTTTTTGAGGATGTGAAAATGGCTGTGGGATGCCTATTTTTGACATGTCTGAATACCTACCTTGGCAACGTTGATGGCAGCCCCATAGCCAGTGGGAAAACCACAGGCAAAGACACAGACTTTGTCCAGAGGTGCAGCAGCATCTATCTTGGCCAGGGTGTAGTCAGGCACAACAGTGTATTCTGCAAAGGTGCTGTTCCAGACAAAGTGATGGATCTGTTTCCCTTTGCAAGTGAATCTGCTGGTCTTGTCAGGCAGCAGGTTTTGTGGTTCAGTGAAGCTGTTGGAAGTATGTGTGTGAGTTGCTCATCACATAAGGTACATGTGTGTGCATATCAGAATTGTTGATGGTTCAGCCTGTTTGGGTAGAGGGGTAGGTAAAAACAAACTCACTGTGATTTCACGCAGTAGTTGGAGTCAGGATTCAAGCAGAAGCTGCATTCTCCACACTGAGGAAGTCCAAAGAGGATGACTTTGTCTCCTGGAAGAAAGCAGATCCAGCATTACACGCCTGTCACTCGGTGGCCTGTTGGCGTGCCTCTGCTGAGCTTTGTGATGACGGCACCCCGGCATGAACGCTCTCCTTTCCCTGTCCAAAGAACACGTTCAGAGCCCACCTCATTCATTTTTGGTATGGTTGAGGAAAGTGTGTGTGACAGCGTAGCACAACTGGTGTGCGGCCAGAGGGAGTTTCTGATCTCTGGGCAGCCTTACAGACTTTGAGAGCTGGGTCCTGGCTGCATGCGTTGGTTACCTGGTTTCACAGAGGTCACTCCTTCTCCAATGCTCTCCACAATCCCAGCTCCTTCATGGCCAAGGATGACTGGGAATTCTACACCAAGAAAGTTCCCTTGTAGAACATGTTCATCTGTGTGACAGATCCCCGTGGCTGCGATCTGTTGGAGTGGAGAGAGTGCGAGAGCTGTCGAAACAACTGGCTTTTGAAAGACCCAGCTGATGGCTGCAGTTTTTGTGGATGCCACCACAGTTGGTGCTACCACCTCGTGCTGGTGCCTCTGTGCTCAGGCCAAGCACAAGTCCTCTGTTCTTGCTGAATGCTTTGTATGGCTTTCCTTTGTGCACTGCTGCAGGGCTTTGGGATTTATTTTTGGCATGTCTTGGCTTTCTGGCTTTTGGGAATGGATGTTCCTGAGTGATTGTCAGACACAGTGCAGTGAAAGTTAGCAGTGAGCAAAGTGCCTCGCTTTGCAGTCATTATTTGATGTTTCAGTGCAGACTGTTCTTTTCTGTTTACCTGAGTATCATTGGTGCCAAAAGCTGGGAAGAGGTCTGTGACATGTAGGGCACTCAATGTCTACTGGCTTGTTACAGCAGTCCACCCTCTCAGGGCATAGCTGCACATAGCTGTGTGCTTCTATCTACAAGCTGGCATGTTCTAAAAATGTTTGCATTTAATCAGAACGCTAATCTGTTTTTTAACAAAACAAACCAAAAAAAGCAGCTCTCATTAGAGCTGTGCAATCCATAGTGAGGATCAAGGGACAACGTGCTTTATACCATACCACTCATTGGATGTTGCTGATTTTTATCATGGTGCTCCTGGGTTTCATAGCTACCATACATGGGAGCCTGGTAAGAATGGGATTGGGTTGACACATTTATTTTTAATGGTTATTTGTTCTCAAGTGGCAAAACTGCAAGCTTTGATTCCTATAAATATTTTTCTCCTTTTTTTTTTTTTTTCTCCCTTTTTCTTCATGTCTTGCTTCCTCAACAATTCCATGATGCGCTTTTGAAAGAAAGGTATGGAAAATAGTATGGAAAGGGACCAGCAAGATCTGGGCTGAGCCATGTGCTCGAACGAGCCAAAAGCCAAGCACAAACCTTAGTGATTGGATCATAGAACTGATCAGGTTGGAAAAGACCTTCAATCTCATCAAGTTCAACCACAACCTAACCGTACTGCCTAAACTTTAACAACCTGCTTCTAAATCATGTCCCAGTGAGCACCACATCCAAACATTTTTAAAAAAATTCAGGGATGGTGATTCAGCCAACTTCCTTGGGAAGCCTATTCCAGTGCTTATCAACCCTTTCTATATAGAATTTTTTTCCTGATATCCAACCTAAAGCTGCCTGGATCCAACTTGAGTCTACTGCTCTTTATTGTGTCACCTGTCACCGGTGAGAAGAGACCAACCCCGCTCTCACTGCAGTCACCTTTCAGGTATTTGAAGAGACCAATGAAGTCTCCCCCCCAGCCTCCTCTTCCCAAGACCAGAAAGCCCCAGTTACTTCAGTCACTCCTCATAGGGCATATTCTCCAAGCCCTCACAACCCTTGTTTCCCTTCTTTAGATCTCCTCTAGAACCTCAAGGTCTCTTTTATATTGAGCGGCAAAAACTGAACACAGTACTCGAGATGGGGCCTCACAGTTGCCGCGTACAAGGGGAAGGGTGCTTAAATAGTTCTGCTAACCACACAATTTCTGATACAAGACAGGATGCCATTAGACTTCTTGGCCATTCCAATCCCACAGCATGTGAACATAATGTGCAAAGCTGAGTGCTAGGAAGAGGGCATGCTGACCACACCATGCCAGGAAAACAGTATGCCCACAGGAACAGCAGTTTCCAATAAAGAAGGAAAACATGCTTTTACCTTGACTCGCACTTCGTGTGCCTTTGGAGGTGCAACCTCTATCTCCTCAACAGAGAGCGATTTGCCCGCTGCCCAGGCAACTGCAGCTCTGCATCGGATAACCTGGAAGAATGGGAGCAGTGAGGCTGTGTGAGAAGGTGCGCCTTTGAGAAAGAGTAATGGATTAAAAGCAGATCAGCTGGTGGTTTGTCGGCCTCTGTCAATAGCACAGCTCCAAGGAAGTACTAAACGCTCATTCTGCCCTGGCCTGTGCCCTCCCAATGACCGCTTCAGCAGCCTGTTGTTTCAATGGGATCCTGCGGTCTCCCTCTTACGTGCTGTTCCCTAGGAGAGGAGAGGACGGAGGCACTTCTGGAAGGAAACTGAATCGCACACTGCGTTCCTGGAGAAGGAGTCTGGAGCAGAGGAGCAGCTGGCATTTGGGTAGTATTCATAGCAAAACAGCTTCTCAGTTTTCAGTGGGAGAAAGCTGTTTAAAGCCCCCTGCCTCGTGCTGGCTAAGCTACTGCCTCCCACAGATACTGACGTGCTGCGGCTGTATGAGAGCAGAGGCTTGTGCAAGTCAAAGAGGTTTGGGTGAGACAAGGGGAGTCAGAGAAAAGATGGTCTGCAGCTCAAGTGTGCTGGCTGAGCCATTCCCAGGGTATCTCTGTGGGAGGGCGGAAGGAAAAAAGGCAATAAGGCATCCTTACTTTTCCAGTAGTGGCCATGTGGTCTGAGAGGAGCTGTCTGCAGCAGTGGCAGAGGATGGAGGCTTGGTGCCGTCTGCCCGTCTGGACCCGTGTGTTGTGTGAAATCCCTGCGTGTGGCTGGGCACCGCTGGCTGCAGGTGAAGGTACGGCAGGGGTGTGCTGGGAGTCCTGGCAGAGGGCCAGAGGAAGCTCAGAAGAGAGTGGGAGAGGTGGTTCCCTGCGTACAGGGCTGGGTGCTGAGGGCGTAGTGAGCAGGGAGGAGGTGGGTAGCAGCAGGGAGGAGGTGGGTAGCAGCAGGGAGGTAGCGATGGTTGGCAGCTAAGCTCTGTGGGGAATAAGCAGAAATCCTCCAGGAAGGCTTTTATTGGTGGTTCTGCTTTTTGGGGAGACTCCCCGTGCCCTCTGAAAGGCACATCAGAGCTCAGAGAGACTTTTTCTCTCTGGCTGCTGGTGGAAGAGCTGGAGGGAGGAGACTCCCATCGCCAGCTGTGCTTCCTTAGACACCACTTGTTGCTAAGGAGAAACCTTTGGCCTGGCAGCAGTTTGCCCCCAGATATTTATGAAAGGATTAATAATTACAAAAAAGAAGATAACTGTAAAACGTGATATGGTGAAGTCAGGGGTGGGAGCTTGTGCTTGCCCTTGGCAGTGAGGCCCACAACCCAGCTTCCAAGTCACGTGAGCCCCCACAAACTTCCCCAGTGCAAAGAAGCATGGTCAATGTGTCTTCCTTGTGGTTGAGCTGTCCCCTGGGGTTTGGAGGCCCTGTTGTTTGCCTATGGCTTCAGCCGTGTGGAAGTACTGCTGGGCAGCCTGTTCTCCAGCCCTGCTGCTTCAGCCCAGCGTCTGCACAGTGTTGATCAAATTCTGCCACGCTGCTATCAGGAGCCTGAGCTCTTGGCATTCCCAAATCTGTGGGCTCTAGGGACAGCAAAAATGGAGTTTACGTGCTCTTGAACAGGACAGAATTGAGGAAGTTTGTTCTACTTCATTCCCTAGCTCTTTTTTTTTTGTTGTTTTTTGTAGTTTTTGATCCTCAACCCTGAAGACTGATGTTATATTCCCTAAAATTCATGCCATGCCGGGCCTTGGAAGCACCATGCGTCTGGCACATGGAGGGCAATTTTTCTGTCCCTTCCTTCTCCACTGTGTGGCTTTTAGCAAACCTTTTTTGACTTCTGTTGAGTGAGCTCCTGATTTAGCTGCGTCTTAGCTGATACAGAAGAGCAGCTTTGCCTCCACTGAAAAAGATTCATTAGAAGCCACCGTGAACTGAGACATGATTCCACTCTTGTTTCTACTGAATCTGTGTTAGCACAGACGGGATCAGTTTTGTAGAAGTGAAACCCTCCTCCTGCTCCTTTGAACGAACATGCCAGCCATCCAGTTCTTGCTGTTGTTCTCATGCACCTGCCCGGAGAGAGATGAGATTCTTCTGCTGAGCTTCACCAACAGAGACTGCTTTTACGGTCCACAAAAAGTCTTTGGACCTGACTGCCCAGATAGTGCCACATGAAGAAATCCTTGATGTTTGGGTCTTAATTGCTGAGCAAGCTGAGTTAAGTAGACGCATGTATGTTAGAGCAGCTCCTTCTGATAGGTCTAATCTCTCAGTAAACCTGTCTTCAAATCATTAACCTTGCTGGGCTGCTCAAAGACTTGTTCAGCTGACGTACATTGTATTCTTTGTCCCCCTATTTCAGTCTCCTTTACCCAGCTACTGGGCAAGCACTGAATGTCTTCCTTTGTGTACTTAGGACGACTGGAAGTGGCTATCGTCTCTTTAGAAAGATAAGTGGGCATAGGTCGTATTTTCCAAGATAGAAGTGCCTCTGTCCACGCTTCCAGGTTGCAGAAAGCAGCAAGATTCCGTATTTGTTTTGGCAGCTGATGGGATGCACTGGAATGGTACTGAGCTGTACTAGTGGCAGTTCAGGCTAGGTAGTAAGAAATCGTTTTTCTTCTGTGCGATCAGACGTAGGAACAGGCTTTGTAGTGAGGTGGTTGAATAGAAATAGCTCCTGTTCCAGTTTCTTGGTTTCAAATTGATTACAAAAGCCATAAGATTCTTAGTTTGATTTTTTTGCAGTCTTTTTCTTGTCCCCTCTTTCTCCACAGTCCCTTTCAATTTACAGATAAGGGTTAGGAACACTTCTTCTTGTTTAATAGAATCTCATAAAAATGAATTTACTAAAAGAAAAAGAAAAGAATGAAAGGAACAAAAAAAAGTAGAGTTACTGAGAGCTCAAAACCTTTAAAAGAAAGTTGCAGGAAGAAATAACAAAAACAAAAACATTAGAGCTGTTTCTCAGGAGGTTTAGAGGATTTCTAGAGGAGTTTTACAGGAGTTCTTCCCGTAACCAGTGGCTGTGAAGGTAAACCCTGAGTGGAGCAACTTGTTTCGGGCTGGTACCTCCCCACTCAGGGAAGGAGCCTTTCTACTCTGTGAGCTAAAACTGAGGAAGGGGCAGAGTGAGACACAGAAATCTGTGTCACTGTGCAGCGCTATGAACCATGGAGCCAGTAGTGTGCTTTTGTGGCCAGGAAGGCCAATGCTACTGTGGGATGAATTAAAAGGAGCGGAGCCCACAGCAGGCTGAGGGAAGTTATCCTGACTCAGTACTCTGCTCTGCTGATGCCACCTATGGAGTACCACCCCCAGTTCAAGAAAAGCAGGGAATTTCTTGAGAGACTCCATTGGAGGGCTGCAAAGAGGATGAGCGGCCTGGAGCACCTCCTTTAAGAGGAAAGCCTGAGAGACTGGGAACCATTCAGCCTGGAGAGGAGAAGACTGAGGCGACCTTATCAGTGCTTATAAATATGTGGCGGGCAGGAGTCATGTGGATGGAGCCAGGCTCTTTTCAGTGGAGCTCAGCAAGTGGCCAAGCGTGAATGGCACAGAGTGAAATGCAGAAAGATCTGCAGAAGCATGAGGAAAATCTTCCTTCCTTAGAGGGTTTACTGAGCTCTGGAACAAAGTGCGCAGTGAGGATGTGGAGCGTCCTGCTCTGGAGATACTCAAAAGCCGTCTGGACGCTTTCCTGTATAGTCTAGTCAAGGGCACCTGCTCTAGCAGGCGGGTGGGACTAGATGGTCTGCAAGGGTTCCTTCCAACCCCCAAGCCTCTGTGATTCTGTGAAGGAGAGAAAATTGAGAGAGTAAGACGCTGTGGTGCAATGAGAAGAAGCTGGTGCTGGAATGAAAGTTTGGAATGACGGGCTGTGTCAGCGAATGGCGTCGTGGAATGAATGAAAGACACGACATGTGATCCTGAGAGGTGAAAGACTGGCAGCAGCGCGGGTGCTCTGTCCCTTGGTCTGTGTTACAGCATTCAGCCAGCTGAGATGGCGGCCGAGGTGGAAGTGCATGTGCAAAAGTGCGCAAGGTGTTTGGTGTGCAAGTGTGCAAAGAATGGCAAAGTGTGCGGGTCAGAAACATCAGCACCTTTTGTTTCACAGCACTCCACGGGAAGAGTTTGTAAGAGAGCCTTTATTTATATAACTGCTTTCTCAGGAGAGGATGGGCTCAGGAGCGCTGGCAGCAGCAGCACAGCTGACAGCTTCCTTGTGCTTCTGTCTTTGCAGTCCACGAAGGGCGATGTGGGAGGGAAGGGCCCGCACAGGAGGGCATCTGCTGGGCTGTGTGCTGCACTCGTGCTGTCCTGATCACATCCTTCAGAAGAGCAGCACGCTGCGAATGCTGGAGAGGGAGGAAAGGAAGGGAGGAGTTACAAGTGGTGCTACTGGCAGAGCCTGCGAGCTGACAAAAGTGCCGCTTCAGGAGCTGCTGCGCATCACTCCTGTTGGTCCGAATCAGAATCTCACCTTTTGCCTGCACGTAGCAATTCAAATCCCTCGTTGATTTTAGCAAATGGCAGCGTGTGTGTGATCAGCAAATCGGAGTTAAATTTCTTCTCCAAATAGCTGGCAACTAATTTGGGGATAGAGTCTCTCATTTTCCAGCCTGGAAATGGGAGAAATGGCATGCAGTGAATAACTGGAGAAATGCTGATTTGGTATAGAACCCTTGGTGGAGTTGCTTGGTGCCGGATCTTTCAAGAGGGTCAGAAATTTGATAAAATATTTTAGATATATTGTTGTTACATGCTTCGTTAGGTGCCTTCAAACACAGTGTATTGTATGATTTGATTATTTTGTGAGGTGGAATTTCAGTGTTCATTTTCACTTGTAGATTTAACATCAGCAGCCTCCTACGGAGAACTTCTGGGACGCTGCCAAGCTTGAAGTATTCACAGTTCCTTCGTGCCTGGTGGATAACAACCATGAGAGATATTTCCTTTTGCTCTTGTATGTAGTACAGTGCTGGACCATGTAATTTGCGTTGTGAAGGAAAGCACTATGTATGTGAAAGCACTGTGTATGTCCTGGAGCATATTTGTTCCAGAGACATTTGGGAATTCCCATTACGGGAGATGGCTGAAATGTCTAAAATGTCTTTTTTGGCTTCCTACCTCCAACCAAAGTCCCTTTACAGGTGCGCCCACTTAGTAGAAGGAATGGATCAATGGGAACTCTTGAACCAGCAGGTGGTTCCCCAATCATCACACAGACTCCAGTGTTCACATTGCAAGAAGCCAGGGCAGCAATCTGGTGGGACAGGAAGCACATTAGCTGAATTTGTCATAAATGCATTCTTTCCTTGCCTCCCTGGTACCTAATAATGGAGGCTGTTTTCTGCACCAGCCTTGGAAAGCTCCATTCCTGCTGTTACACTCCTGAATCATTTCTCCCCAAGCAGAATGGCCTGAAGTGCAGGCATATGTGATGGAAGATGTCTGATGGGATTCTGGGAAGGAAGACGTGCTAAGATGTCACATACCAGGGTATCTGCAGTTCCAGCAGTCTCAAAGGAGCAGTCCACGCCGTGACCGGTCATCTCGGTGAGCACCTGCTGGATAGGCTTCTTGAAGTCTTTAGGGTTGATGCACTCGGTGGCTCCCATCTCTTTGGCCCTGGCAAACTTGTCCTCGTTGATATCGATGGCAATGATGCGAGACGCTCCAGCTGCCTTGCAGCCCATGACAACAGAGAGGCCGACTCCGCCGAGGCCAAAGACAGCACAGGTGGAGCCTGGTTTTACCTGCATGACGTGGGGCTGGATTAGTCTCCTGGGTGAGGAGGAAGTTTCTATTGCTTTTTTGAGGATGTGAAAATGGCTGTGGGATGCTTATTTTTGACATGTCTGAATACCTACCTTGGCAACGTTGATGGCAGCCCCATAGCCAGTGGGAAAACCACAGGCAAGCAAGCAGACTTTGTCCAGAGGTGCAGCAGCATCTATCTTGGCCAGGGTGTAGTCGGGCACAACAGTGTATTCTGCAAAGGTGCTGTTCCAGAGGAAATGATGGATCTGTTTCCCTTTGCAAGTGAATCTGCTGGTCTTGTCAGGCAGCAGGTTTTGTGGTTCAGTGAAGCTGTTGGAAGTGTGTGTGTGAGTTGCTCATCACATAAGGTACATGTGTGTGCATATCAGAATTGTTGATGGTTCAGCCTGTTTGGGTAGAGGGGTAGGTGAAAACAAACTCACTGTGTTTTCACGCAGTAGTTGGAGTCAGGATTCAAGCAGAAGCTGCATTCTCCACACTGAGGAAGTGGAAGGAGGATGACTTTGTCTCCTGGAAGAAAGCAGATCCAGCATTACACGCCTGTCACTCGGTGGCCTGTTGGCGTGCCTCTGCTGAGCTTTGTGATGACGGCACCCCGGCATGAACGCTCTCCTTTCCCTGTCCGAAGAACACGTTCAGAGCCCACCTCATGCACTTTTGGTATGGATGAGGAAAGTGTGTGTGACAGCGTAGCACAACTGGTGTGCGGCCAGAGGGAGTTTCTGATCTCTGGGCAGCCTTACAGACTTTGAGAGCTGGGTCCTGGCTGCATGCGTTGGTTACCTGGTTTCACAGAAGTCACTCCTTCTCCAATGCTCTCCACAATCCCAGCTCCTTCATGGCCGGGGATGACTGGGAATTCTAGATCAGGAAATGTACCTTCAAGAACGTGGTCATCTGTGCGACAGATCCCTGTAGCCACAATCTGTTAGCAGTGAAAGTGCACAGAACATCTGGAACAATGTTGATTGGCTCTGAGACCCTCAGTCCCTTTGTTCTGGGAACTGAAATCACACAACTGTGCTTTGGTGGTTTTTTTGCTCCACCTGAGTACTTACTGCTCTATGGGTCCCAGTAGTATTTGCCCCAGGGTTCTCAAAGAGCTGCCTGATTTCATTGTGGGTCCACTCTTTAATTATTTTTCACTAGTTTGGGAAATCTGGAGATGTTCTTATCTACTAAAAGGTGGTAAACTTCCCAGTTGTCATGAAGAAACAGAAAGACTATCCTGGTAATTGCAGGTCTGTCAGTCTCGCTTTTTTGCCTGGCAGAATTGTGGAGTAGATTATTCTGGGAGATATTGTAAAATACTTGAAAGATAATTGGTCACATCCAATGTGGGTTCACATGGGGGGAAAGTCCTGCGTAATGAATTAATCTCCTTTTACTATAAGGCTAACCCCCCACTCCACCCTCCCTCCCACTTGACCAAGGGAAGCTTACTTGGCTTTTAGCAAATCTTTCAGTATCTTGTCTGTCTTTATCTTTCAGGACCAAACATCCAGCATACAGCTAGACTGAAACATTATTCAGTGGATGAACAACTGGCTGATGGGTTGGACTCAGAAGGCTTTACTAAATGTGGTCATAACTACCTGGTGGTCATTAATGAGTTTTGTCAGGGCTCCATCTTGGGGCCAGTTTTCTTTAATTATTTCATCAATGATCTGGATATGGAACTTGATGGTATACTAAGTAAGTTTGCAAATAATACTACATTAGGGAGGGGCTGTTGACTCTGTAGGGGGCAGAAAGGTCTTGAAGAGAGATCTTGACAAAATGGAGAACTGGGCAACACCAACATATGAACTAAACAAGAGCACGTGCTAACTTCTGCGGCTGGCACAGGCAACTGAAGATATATGCACAGACTGGGGGATGAGATCTTGCAGAGCAGTCCTGTGGAGAAGGACCTGGGGGCTCTGATTGCTGGCAAGTTGAATCTAAGTTAGCAGTGTGCCCTGGCACAGCCCATGGGGTGAACCATACTGTGGGGTGCATCATGTCCAACACTGCCAGTCAGTCAAGGGAAGGGATTGTCCCACTCTGTTCTGCACTGGGCCAGCCTCACCTCGAGCACTGTTTGCAGTTTTGGCATGACAATATAGGAAGGACATAAAACTGAAACTATTTGAGAGTGCCCAAAAGAGACTTACAAAGATGGTGAAGGCTCTGAACAAGATGTGTGAGGAGTGGCTCAAGTCCCTTGCCTTTTTAGCCCAGAGAAGGGGAGACTAAGGTCAGGTCTTCCAGCAACCTCAGTCCTTCCTTATGAGGGGAGCAAAGCGGCAGGCACTGAGCTCTGCTTGATGGTGTCAGGGTCCAAGGGTGTGCAGTGCAGCTGCATCAGGAGAAGATGAGACTGTGTGTTGAGAAAAGGTTCTTCACCAGAGGGCAGTCAGACATGAAATAGTCACCACAGGGCAGTGGTCACAGCATGAAGATGCTGGAGTTCAAGAAGCATTTAGACAACGTTCTCACATAAAGGACTTGAATTTTGTGTGGTTCTATGTGGAGACAGGAGCTGGATTCAGTGAGCCTATTGTGGGTCCCTTTTAGCTTTGGATATTCTATGGTAATATGATTCTAGAAACATCTTGACCACCATTGATCTCCATAATGGATCCAGGAAATAGGGTGTAGTAATGTTTGTCTCCTTCCCAAACCTTGGGAAAGATTAAGCTTCAATGCACCATGATTCCCAAAGGTTATATTTTAGCTAAATCCTCCAAAAAATATCCCATACTGGAAGGGGGGGGGGGGGGGGGGAGGAGGAAAGGAAATAATAAAACAACGAAAACAACAAAAAAAACCCAAAGTGCTTTTACCTTGACTCGCACTTCGTGTGCCTTTGGAGGTGCAACCTCTATCTCCTCAACAGAGAGCGATTTGCCCGCTGCCCAGGCAACTGCAGCTCTGCATCGGATAACCTGGAAGAATGGGAGCGGTGAGGCTGTGTGAGAAGGTGCGCCTTTGAGAAAGAGTAATGGATTAAAAGCAGATCAGCTGGTGGTTTGTCGGCCTCTGTCAATAGCACAGCTCCAAGGAAGTACTAAACGCTCATTCTGCCCTGGCCTGTGCCCTCCCAATGACCGCTTCAGCAGCCTGTTGTTTCAATGGGATCCTGCGGTCTCCCTCTTACGAGCTGTTCCCTAGGGGAGGAGAGGACGGAGGCCCTTCTGGAAGGAAACTGAATCGCACACCGCGTTCCTGGAGAAGGAGTCTGGAGCAGAGGAGCAGCTGGCATTTGGGTAGTATTCATAGCAAAACAGCTTCTCAGTTTTCAGTGGGAGAAAGCTGTTTAAAGCCCCCTGCCTCGTGCTGGCTAAGCTACTGCCTCCCACAGATACTGACGTGCTGCGGCTGTATGAGAGCAGAGGCTTGTGCAAGTCAAAGAGGTTTGGGTGAGACAAGGGGAGTCAGAGAAAAGATGGTCTGCAGCTCAAGTGTGCTGGCTGAGCCATTCCCAGGGTATCTCTGTGGGAGGGCGGAAGGAAAAAAGGCAACAAGGCATCCTTACTTTTCCAGTAGTGGCCATGTGGTCTGAGAGGAGCTGTCTGCAGCAGTGGCAGAGGATGGAGGCTTGGTGCCGTCTGCCCGTCTGGACCCGTGTGTTGTGTGAAATCCCTGCGTGTGGCTGGGCACCGCTGGCTGCAGGTGAAGGTACGGCAGGGGTGTGCTGGGAGTCCTGGCAGAGGGCCAGAGGAAGCTCAGAAGAGAGTGGGAGAGGTGGTTCCCTGCGTACAGGGCTGGGTGCTGAGGGCGTAGTGAGCAGGGAGGAGGTGGGTAGCAGCAGGGAGGAGGTGGGTAGCAGCAGGGAGGTAGCGATGGTTGGCAGCTATGCTCTGTGGGGAGTAAGCAGAAATCCTCCAGGAAGGCTTTTATTGGTGGTTCTGCTTTTTGGGGAGACTCCCCGTGCCCTCTGAAAGGCACATCAGAGCTCAGAGAGACTTTTTCTCTCTGGCTGCTGGTGGAAGAGCTGGAGGGAGGAGACTCCCATCGCCAGCTGTGCTTCCTTAGACACCACTTGTTGCTAAGGAGAAACCTTTGGCCTGGCAGCAGTTTGCCCCCAGATATTTATGAAAGGATTAATAATTACAAAAAAGAAAATAACTGTAAAACGTGATATGGTGAAGTCAGGGGTGGGAGCTTGTGCTTGCCCTTGGCAGTGAGGCCCACAACCCAGCTTCCAAGTCACGTGAGCCCCCACAAACTTCCCCAGTGCAGAGAAGCATGGTCAATGTATCTTCCTTGTGGTTGAGCTGTCCCCTGGGGTTTGGAGGCCCTGTTGTTTGCCTATGGCTTCAGCCGTGTGAAAGTACTGCTGGGCAGCCTGTTCTCCAGCCCTGCTGCTTCAGCCCAGTGTCTGCACAGTGTTGATCAAATTCTGCCACGCTTCTATCAGGAGCCTGAGCTCTTGGCATTCCCAAATCTGTGGGCTCTAGGGACAGCAAAAATGGAGTTTACGTGCTCTTGAACAGGACAGAATTGAGGAAGTTTGTTCTACTTCATTCCCTAGCTCTTTTTTTTGTTTGTTTTTTGTAGTTTTTGATCCTCAACCCTGAAGACTGATGTTATATTCCCTAAAATTCATGCCATGCCGGGCCTTGGAAGCACCATGCGTCTGGCACATGGAGGGCAATTTTTCTGTCCCTTCCTTCTCCACTGTGTGGCTTTTAGCAAACCTTTTTTGACTTCTATTGAGTGAGCTCCTGATTTAGCTGCGTCTTAGCTGATACAGAAGAGCAGTTTTGCCTCCACTGAAAAAGATTCATTAGAAGCCACCGTGAACTGAGACATGATTCCACTCTTGTTTCTACTGAATCTGTGTTAGCACAGACGGGATCAGTTTTGTAGAAGTGAAACCCTCCTCCCGCTCCTTTGAACGAACATGCCGGCCATCCAGTTCTTGCTGTTGTTCTCATGCACCTGCCCGGAGAGAGATGAGATTCTTCTGCTGAGCTTCACCAACAGAGACTGCTTTTACGGTCCACAAAAAGTCTTTGGACCTGACTGCCCAGATAGTGCCACATGAAGAAATCCTTGATGTTTGGATCTTAATTGCTGAGCAAGCTGAGTTAAGTAGACGCATGTATGTTAGAGCAGCTCCTTCTGATAGGTCTAATCTCTCAGTAAACCTGTCTTCAAATCATTAACCCTGCTGGGCTGCTCACAGACTTGTTCAGCTGACGTACATTGTATTCTTTGTCCCCCTATTTCAGTCTCCTTTACCCAGCTACTGGGCAAGCACTGAATGTCTTCCTTTGTGTACTTAGGACGACTGGAAGTGGCTATCGTCTCTTTAGAAAGATAAGTGGGCATAGGTCGTATTTTCCAAGATAGAAATGCCTCTGTCCACGCTTCCAGGTTGCAGAAAGCAGCAAGATTCCGTATTTGTTTTGGCAGCTGATGGGATGCACTGGAATGGTACTGAGCTGTACTAGTGGCAGTTCAGGCTAGGTAGTAAGAAATCGTTTTTCTTCTGTGCGATCAGACGTAGGAACAGGCTTTGTAGTGAGGTGGTTGAATAGAAATAGCTCCTGTTCCAGTTTCTTGGTTTCAAATTGATTACAAAAGCCATAAGATTCTTAGTTTGATTTTTTTGCAGTCTTTTTCTTGTCCCCTCTTTCTCCACAGTCCCTTTCAATTTACAGATAAGGGTTAGGAACACTTCTTCTTGTTTAATAGAATCTCATAAAAATGAATTTACTAGAAGAAAAAGAAAAGAATGAAAGGAACAAAAAAAAGTAGAGTTACTGAGAGCTCAAAACCTTTAAAAGAAAGTTGCAGGAAGAAATAACAAAAACAAAAACATTAGAGCTGTTTCTCAGGAGGTTTAGAGGATTTCTAGAGGAGTTTTACAGGAGTTCTTCCCGTAACCAGTGGCTGTGAAGGTAAACTCTGAGTGGAGCAACTTGTTCCGGGCTGGTACCTCCCCACTCAGGGAAGGAGCCTTTCTACTCTGTGAGCTAAAACTGAGGAAGGGGCAGAGTGAGACACAGAAATCTGTGTCACTGTGCAGCGCTATGAACCATGGAGCCAGTAGTGTGCTTTTGTGGCCAGGAAGGCCAATGCTACTGTGGGATGAATTAAAAGGAGCGGAGCCCACAGCAGGCTGAGGGAAGTTATCCTGACTCAGTACTCTGCTCTGCTGATGCCACCTATGGAGTACCACCCCCAGTTCAAGAAAAGCAGGGAATTTCTTGAGAGACTCCATTGGAGGGCTGCAAAGAGGATGAGCGGCCTGGAGCACCTCCTTTAAGAGGAAAGCCTGAGAGACTGGGAACCATTCAGCCTGGAGAGGAGAAGACTGAGGCGACCTTATCAGTGCTTATAAATATGTGGCGGGCAGGAGTCATGTGGATGGAGCCAGGCTCTTTTCAGTGGAGCTCAGCAAGTGGCCAAGCGTGAATGGCACAGAGTGAAATGCAGAAAGATCTGCAGAAGCATGAGGAAAATCTTCCTTCCTTAGAGGGTTTACTGAGCTCTGGAACAAAGTGCGCAGTGAGGATGTGGAGCGTCCTGCTCTGGAGATACTCAAAAGCCGTCTGGACGCTTTCCTGTATAGTCTAGTCAAGGGCACCTGCTCTAGCAGGCGGGTGGGACTAGATGGTCTGCAAGGGTTCCTTCCAACCCCCAAGCCTCTGTGATTCTGTGAAGGAGAGAAAATTGAGAGAGTAAGACGCTGTGGTGCAATGAGAAGAAGCTGGTGCTGGAATGAAAGTTTGGAATGACGGGCTGTGTCAGCGAATGGCGTCGTGGAATGAATGAAAGACACGACATGTGATCCTGAGAGGTGAAAGACTGGCAGCAGCGCGGGTGCTCTGTCCCTTGGTCTGTGTTACAGCATTCAGCCAGCTGAGATGGCGGCCGAGGTGGAAGTGCATGTGCAAAAGTGCGCAAGGTGTTTGGTGTGCAAAGAATGGCAAAGTGTGCGGGTCAGAAACATCAGCACCTTTTGTTTCACAGCACTCCACGGGAAGAGTTTGTAAGAGAGCCTTTATTTATATAACTGCTTTCTCAGGAGAGGATGGGCTCAGGAGCGCTGGCAGCAGCAGCACAGCTGACAGGTTCCTTGTGCTTCTGTCTTTACAGTCCACGAAGGGCGATGTGGGAGGGAAGGGCCCGCACAGGAGGGCATCTGCTGGGCTGTGTGCTGCACTCGTGCTGTCCTGATCACATCCTTCAGAAGAGCAGCACGCTGCGAATGCTGGAGAGGGAGGAAAGGAAGGGAGGAGTTACAAGTGGTGCTACTGGCAGAGCCTGCGAGCTGACAAAAGTGCCGCTTCAGGAGCTGCTGCGCATCACTCCTGTTGGTCCGAATCAGAATCTCACCTTTTGCCTGCACGTAGCAATTCAAATCCCTCGTTGATTTTAGCAAATGGCAGCGTGTGTGTGATCAGCAAGTCGGAGTTAAATTTCTTCTCCAAATAGCTGGCAACTAATTTGGGGATAGAGTCTCTCATTTTCCAGCCTGGAAATGGGAGAAATGGCATGCAGTGAATAACTGGAGAAATGCTGATTTGGTATAGAACCCTTGGTGGAGTTGCTTGGTGCCGGATCTTTCAAGAGGGTCAGGAAGTTGATAAAATATTTTAGATATATTGTTATGTTGGATGCATGTATATATATGGTGAAATTTCAGTGTTCATTTTCACTTCCAGCTTTAACATTAGCAGCCTCTCAAGAGACTTTCTAGGATGTTGCCCTGGAGCTGTGTACATTGCTGAACAGTTTAACGGCATGCTCAATGGAGGGGCTAATGCATGTACTGGAGCATATTTGTTCCAGAGACATTTGGGAATTCCTGTGAAGGAGAAGGCTGAAATGTCTAAAATGTCTTTCTTGGCTTCCTACCTCCAGCCACAGTCCCTTTACAGGTGCGCCCACTTAGTAGAAGGAATGGATCAATGGGAATTGTTGAACCAGCAGGTGGTATTCCAATCAAGACACAGACTCCAGTGTTCATATTGCAAGAGGCCAGGGCAGCAATCTGGTGGGACAGGAAGCACTTTAGCTGAGTTTGTCATAAATGCATTCTTTCCTTGCAGGTTTGTGCCTCCCTGGTACCTAATAATGGAGGCTGTTTTCTGCACCAGCCTTGGAAAGCTCCATTCCTGCTGTTACACTCCTGAATCATTTCTCCCCAAGCAGAATGGCCTGAAGTGCAGGCATATGTGATGGAAGATGTCTGATGGGATTCTGGGAAGGAAGACGTGCTAAGATGTCACATACCAGGGTATCTGCAGTTCCAGCAGCCTCAAAGGAGCAGTCCACGCCGTGACCGGTCATCTCGGTGAGCACCTGCTGGATAGGCTTCTTGAAGTCTTTAGGGTTGATGCACTCGGTGGCTCCCATCTCTTTGGCCCTGGCAAACTTGTCCTCGTTGATATCGATGGCAATGATGCGGGACGCTCCAGCTGCCTTGCAGCCCATGACAACAGAGAGGCCGACTCCGCCGAGGCCAAAGACAGCACAGGTGGAGCCTGGTTTTACCTGCATGACGTGGGGCTGGATTAGTCTCCTGGGTGAGGAGGAAGTTTCTATTGCTTTTTTGAGGATGTGAAAATGGCTGTGGGATGCCTATTTTTGACATGTCTGAATACCTACCTTGGCAACGTTGATGGCAGCCCCATAGCCAGTGGGAAAACCACAGGCAAAGACACAGACTTTGTCCAGAGGTGCAGCAGCATCTATCTTGGCCAGGGTGTAGTCGGGCACAACAGTGTATTCTGCAAAGGTGCTGTTCCAGAAGAAATGATGGATCTGTTTCCCTTTGCAAGTGAATCTGCTGGTCTTGTCAGGCAGCAGGTTTTGTGGTTCAGTGAGGCTGTTGGAAGTGTGTGTGTGAGTTGCTCATCACATAAGGTACATGTGTGTGCATGTCAGAATTGTTGATGGTTCAGCCTGTTTGGGTAGAGGGGTAGGTGAAAACAAACTCACTGTGATTTCATGCAGTAGTTGGAGTCAGGATTCAAGCAGAAGCTGCATTCTCCACACTGAGGAAGTGGAAGGAGGATGACTTTGTCTCCTGGAAGAAAGCAGATCCAGCATTACACGCCTGTCACTCGGTGGCCTGTTGGCGTGCCTCTGCTGAGCTTTGTGATGACGGCACCCCGGCATGAACGCTCTCCTTTCCCTGTCCAAAGAACACGTTCAGAGCCCACCTCATGCACTTTTGGTATGGATGAGGAAAGTGTGTGTGACAGCGTAGCACAACTGGTGTGCGGCCAGAGGGAGTTTCTGATCTCTGGGCAGACTTACAGACTTTGAGAGCTGGGTCCTGGCTGCATGCGTTGGTTACCTGGTTTCACAGAGGTCACTCCTTCTCCAATGCTCTCCACAATCCCAGCTCCTTCATGGCCGAGGATGACTGGGAATTCTACACCAAGAAAGTTCCCTTGTAGAACATGTTCATCTGTGTGACAGATCCCCGTGGCCGCGATCTGTTGGAGTGGAGAGAGTGCGAGAGCTGTCGAAACAACTGGCTTTCGAAAGACCAAGCTGATGGCTGCAGTTTTTGTGGATGCCACCACAGCTGGTGCTACCACCTCGTGCTGGTGCCTCTGTGCTCAGGCCATGCACAAGTCCTCTGTTCTTGCTAAATGCTTTGTATGGCTTTCCTCTGTGCACTGCTGCAGGGCTTTGGGATTTATTGTTGGCATGTCTTGGCTTTCTGGCTTTTGGGAATGGATGTTTCTGAGTGATTGTCAGACACAGTGCAGTGAAAGTTAGCAGTGAGCAAAGTGCCTCGCTTTGCAGTCATTATTTGATGTTTCAGTGCAGACTGTTCTTTTCTGTTTACCTGAGTATCATTGGTGCCAAAAGCTGGGAAGAGGTCTGTGACATGTAGGGCACTCAATGTCTACTGGCTTGTTACAGCAGTCCACCCTCTCAGGGCATAGCTGCACATAGCTGTGTGCTTCTATCTACAAGCTGGCATGTTCTAAAAACGTTTGCATTTAATCAGAACGCTCATCTGTTTCTTAACAAAACAAACCAAAAAAAGCAGCTCTCATTAGTGCTGTGCAATCTATAGTGAGGATCAAGGGACAACGTGCTTTATACCATACCACTCATTGGATGTTGCTGATTTTTATCATGGTGCTCCTGAGTTTCATAGCTACCATACATGGGAGCCTGGTAAGAATGGGATTGTGTTGACACATTTATTTTTAATGGTTATTTGTTCTCAGGTGGCAAAACTGCAAGCTTTGATTCCTATAAATATTTTTCTCCTTTTTTTTTTTTTTCTCCCTTTTTCTTCATGTCTTGCTTCATCAACAATTCCATGATGCGCTTTTGAAAGAAAGGCATGGAAAATAGTATGGAAAGGGACCAGCAAGATCTGGGCTGAGCCATGTGCTAGAACGAGCCAAAAGCCAAGCACAAACCTTAGTGATTGGATCATAGAACTGATCAGGTTGGAAAAGACCTTCAATCTCATCAAGTTCAACCACAACCTAACCGTACTGCCTAAACTTTAACAACCTGCTTCTAAATCATGTCCCAGTGAGCACCACATCCAAACATTTTTAAAAAAATTCAGGGATGGTGATTCAGCCAACTTCCTTGGGAAGCCTATTCCAGTGCTTATCAACCCTTTCTATATAGAATTTTTTTCCTGATATCCAACCTAAAGCTGCCTGGATCCAACTTGCGTCTACTGCTCTTTATTGTGTCACCTGTCACCGGTGAGAAGAGACCAACCTCGCTCTCACTGCAGTCACCTTTCAGGTATTTGAAGAGACCAATGAAGTCTCCCCCCCAGCCTCCTCTTCCCAAGACCAGAAAGCCCCAGTTACTTCAGTCACTCCTCATAGGGCATATTCTCCAAGCCCTCACAACCCTTGTTTCCCTTCTTTAGATCTCCTCTAGAACCTCAAGGTCTCTTTTATATTGAGCGGCAAAAACTGAACACAGTACTCGAGATGGGGCCTCACAGTTGCCGCGTACAAGGGGAAGGGTGCTTAAATAGTTCTGCTAACCACACAATTTCTGATACAAGACAGGATGCCATTAGACTTCTTGGCCATTCCAATCCCACAGCATGTGAACATAATGTGCAAAGCTGAGTGCTAGGAAGAGGGCATGCTGACCACACCATGCCAGGAAAACAGTATGCCCACAGGAACAGCAGTTTCCAATAAAGAAGGAAAACGTGCTTTTACCTTGACTCGCACTTCGTGTGCCTTTGGAGGTGCAACCTCTATCTCCTCAACAGAGAGCGATTTGCCCGCTGCCCAGGCAACTGCAGCTCTGCATCGGATAACCTGGAAGAATGGGAGCGGTGAGGCTGTGTGAGAAGGTGCGCCTTTGAGAAAGAGTAATGGATTAAAAGCAGATCAGCTGGTGGTTTGTCGGCCTCTGTCAATAGCACAGCTCCAAGGAAGTACTAAACGCTCATTCTGCCCTGGCCTGTGCCCTCCCAATGACCGCTTCAGCAGCCTGTTGTTTCAATGGGATCCTGCGGTCTCCCTCTTACGAGCTGTTCCCTAGGGGAGGAGAGGACGGAGGCACTTCTGGAAGGAAACTGAATCGCACACCGCGTTCCTGGAGAAGGAGTCTGGAGCAGAGGAGCAGCTGGCATTTGGGTAGTATTCATAGCAAAACAGCTTCTCAGTTTTCAGTGGGAGAAAGCTGTTTAAAGCCCCCTGCCTCGTGCTGGCTAAGCTACTGCCTCCCACAGATACTGACGTGCTGCGGCTGTATGAGAGCAGAGGCTTGTGCAAGTCAAAGAGGTTTGGGTGAGACAAGGGGAGTCAGAGAAAAGATGGTCTGCAGCTCAAGTGTGCTGGCTGAGCCATTCCCAGGGTATCTCTGTGGGAGGGCGGAAGGAAAAAAGGCAACAAGGCATCCTTACTTTTCCAGTAGTGGCCATGTGGTCTGAGAGGAGCTGTCTGCAGCAGTGGCAGAGGATGGAGGCTTGGTGCCGTCTGCCCGTCTGGACCCGTGTGTTGTGTGAAATCCCTGCGTGCGGCTGGGCACCGCTGGCTGCAGGTGAAGGTACGGCAGGGGTGTGCTGGGAGTCCTGGCAGAGGGCCAGAGGAAGCTCAGAAGAGAGTGGGAGAGGTGGTTCCCTGCGTACAGGGCTGGGTGCTGAGGGCGTAGTGAGCAGGGAGGAGGTGGGTAGCAGCAGGGAGGAGGTGGGTAGCAGCAGGGAGGAGGTGGGTAGCAGCAGGGAGGTAGCGATGGTTGGCAGCTATGCTCTGTGGGGAGTAAGCAGAAATCCTCCAGGAAGGCTTTTTTTGGTGGTTCTGCTTTTTGGGGAGACTCCCCGTGCCCTCTGAAAGGTACATCAGAGCTCAGAGAGACTTTTTCTCTCTGGCTGCTGGTGGAAGAGCTGGAGAGATGAGACTCCCATCGCCAGCTGTGCTTCCTTAGACACCACTTGTTGCTAAGGAGAAACCTTTGGCCTGGCAGCAGTTTGCCCCCAGATATTTGTGAAAGGATTAATAATTACAAAAAAGAAGATAACTGTAAAACGTGATATGGTGAAGTCAGGGGTGGGAGCTTGTGCTTGCCCTTGGCAGTGAGGCCCAAAACCCAGCTTCCAAGTCATGTGAGCCCTCTGAAAAACTTCTCCTAGTGCAGAGAGTCATGGCTAATGTGTCTTTCTTCTGGCTGAGGCTTAGAGGCCCTGTTGTTTGCCTATGGCTTCAGCTGTGTGAAAGTACTGCTGGTTCGGCTCATCATCTGCGCTGTGATGATCAAGTTCTGCCATGCTGTTGTGAGGCGCCTACATCCTTGGTGTTCCCAAACCCATGTGCACTTAGGACATCTGTTATTGACTTTACATGCTCTTGAACAGGACAGAATTGACGAAGTTTGTTGTAGTTTCTCCCTTATCTAGGAATTGCTGCATGGTATCCCATGGAAAACTGTCCTCAGAGACATAGGAATGGAACGCTGCTGCTAGCACTCTAAGAACACCTTTCTGAGAGCACAAGAGTTCTCAATCCCTCAGCAGGGAAAAGAAGGAAATGTATAAGCGGTGAAAGCAGGGATACTGGCCTGGAAAGAATGCAGGGATGCCATCTGAATGTGTAAAGATGGGATCAGTAATGCCAAGGCACAGATGGAACTGAGCTTGATGAGGAATGTGAAAATTAACATGATGGGGGTTTAGAGAAACAATAGTCAGAATAGACGGACAAAAGAGAGTGTACCTCCTCTGGTAAATGAGAAGGGAGGACTAGCTTCAACAAACATACAGAAAGCTGAGGTACTCCGCAAGTTCTTAGCCTCAATATTCATTGGCAGTCAGGCTTCTTATGTCTCTTTTGTGTCACTGATCTTTTAGGTGGGTCAAGGGTGCAAAATCCCTCCCACTGAAAGAACAGAGCAAGCCATATACTGCCTCATAAGGCTGAAATTGTACAAATCTATGGGGCCAGATAGCATGCATACCAGGGTCCTGGTGGAATGGGTTGATGTGGCCACCAAGTCCATCTCCTTCGTATTTGAAAAGTCAGGGCTGTGAGGCAAAGGCTTGGTGACTGGAAAAAGGGAAATAATCACTCCCATTTTAAGGAAGACCTGGGGAACTATGGACTGGTGAGCCTCATGTCTGTGCCTGGGAAGATCAGAGCAGATCCTCCTGGAAGCTATGTTGAAGCACATGAGAGATATGGAGGTGATTTGAGATGGCCAACATAGCATCTTCATCAATGACATCGACTATGGGGTTGAGTGCACTTTCAGCAAGCTTACCAATGACATGAACATGTGGGTTGACACACCAGAAGGATGGGATGCCATGCACAGGGACCTAGACAGGCTTGAGCAGTGGGCCAATGTGACCTCATGAGGTTCAACAAATCCAAGTGAAAGGTCTTGCACCTGAGTCAAGGCAGTCCACATTGCCAGTACAAATTGGGAAATGAAATGATTGAGAGCAGCTCTGCTGAAAAAAAAAATTGGGGGGACTGGTAGATGGCAAGCTGGACATGAGCCAGCAATGTGTCCTCACAGCTCAGAAAGCCAACTGTATCCTGGGCTGCATCAAAAGTAGTGTGGCCAGCAGGTTGAGGGAGGTGATCCTGCCCCTCAACTCTGTGCTGTTGAGACCTCAGCTGAGGGTTTCTGTCCAGATGTGGAGTCCTCAGTACAGAGGGACATGGATCTGCTGGATTGTGTCCAGAGAAGGACTATAAAAATGATCCATGGAATTGAACGCAGGAGTTCAATTCCAAAAAAGGATCCATGGAATTTCCTACAAGGACAGACTGAGAGAGCTGGAGCTGTTCAACCTGAAGAAGAGAAGGCTGTGAGGTGACCTGATAGCGGCTTTTTGGTATTTAAAGGGGAGCTTCAGGAAAGAAGGGGACAGACTCTCTAGCAGAGTCTGTGGCAATAGAAAAAGGGGAAATGGCTTCAAGCTCAGGGAGGTTAGATTTAGCTTAGGTGTAAGGAAAAAAATCTTTTACAGTTAGGGGGATGAGGCACTGGAACAGATTACCTGGTGGTTTGATTGATGCCCATTCCCTGGCAACTTTCAAGGTAAGGCTGGATCAGGCCCTGGGCAATCTGATCTGGCTGTGGTGTCCATGTTCAACTATAAGGATTCTATGATGCACTAAGGGCACATTGTGTCTGACCAATCTGGTGGCCTTCTGTGATAAAGTGATGGCAGTGGTTGATAAAGTGTCATGGTTTTGTGATTTTTGGCTTTCAGTATTCCACATCATAACATCATGTGGGGCACTGGGACTTTAACTGTCAATGCTCAAGTCCTGGGTACCTGCCCTGAAGAGAAGAAAAACTACATTCCCCAGGGGATCTTGCGGTCAGGGAGAGGAGGTTTAACTCCTGGCAAGGAGTTTCCCTTTTCTCGCCTGCCCTTCGTCGTGGGCGCTGCTCCCGTCTCCCTGCTGCTCAACTGGACTGCGCATCTCACCTCAGCGTTGTGGTGAGGCCTTTCCACCTTTTCAGACATTCTCTCTCTCATTGTATTTGATTTATTAGCTTCAATTCTGATTATATTGTATTATAGTGTGTTATCTTGCATTCCGATAATATATTTAGTAAATTAGTTTGTTTCTCCTCAGATTGTTGCCGCTGTTTTTAATTATTTTGGGGTCCCCTGTTTCTTTTTTTCCAGAGGCACGGATCTGCAGATCCCTCCGCCCCGCTCATCACGGAACCGGGCCGAACCAGCCCGTAAACCGTTGATATAAAGGAAAGGCAATCCATGTAATCTACCTGGACTTCTGCAAAGCTTTTGATACAGTCCCATACCATATCCTCATTTCTAAATTGGAGAGATATAGACTTGGAGGCTGGACTATTTGGTGAAAAAAGAATCTGTTGGATGGTCACAGCCAGAGGGTTGTGGTCAGTGGCTCTGTGTCTAGATGGAGGCTGGTCATGAGTCATGTCCCTCAGGGGCCAGTCTTGAGATTGGTGCTCTTCAACATCAATGGCCTAGATTGTAAAATCAAGTGCACCCTCAGCAAATTGACTGAGGAGACTAAGCTGAGTGGTGCAGTTGGTACAACAGAAAGAAGGGATACCATCCAGAGGGACCTAGACAGACTTGAAAAGAGGGCCCATGAGAACCTAAGTGCAACAAAATCAAGTACAGGGTGCTGCAGTGGGGTCAGGGTAATCCCAGATATGTGTACAGACTGGGAGAAGAGCCCATTGAGAGCAGCCCTGCTGAGAAGGACACAAGGGTCCTGGTGGATGAAAAGCTGGACATGAGCCAGTAGTGTGTGCCTGCAGCCCAGAAAGCCAACAGTGCCCTGGGCTGCATCAAAAGAGGGGCAGCCAGCAGGACAATGGAGGTGATCGTCTCCCTCTACTCAGCTCTTGTGAGGACCCATCTGGAGTACTGCGTCCAAGCATGGTGTCCCTAGTAAAGGAGGGATGCAGAGCTGCTGGATCTCATATGAAGAAGGGGAGAGGGAGCTGGGCTTGTTTAGCTTGGAGAAGAGAAGGTTCTGGGAAAACCTCACTGCAGTTTTCTAGTAGATGAAGGGTGCTTATGCGCAGGAAGAAGACTGATTTTTTACACACCCTGATAGTGATAGGACAAAGGGAAAAGAGCTTGAAACTAAAAGACGGGAGATTGAAGTTGGATGATAGATGTAAATTCCTTTCTTACTGGAACAGGCTGCCCAGAGAAGCTGTGGATGCTCCATTATTGAAAGCGTTCAGGGTTTGAGTGGATGGAGCCCTGATCTGGTAGGGGGCAACCTTGGCCACAGGAGGGGATTGAAGCCAGATGATGTTTAAGGTCTTCTTCAACCCAAAGGTGATCTCTAGCATCCCCAGTGCAGAAGGGCAGTGCTAATGGGCCTGACATCTGGTGTAGCAGTCTCCTGAGGCATGGCAGTCTTGTGCTGGGACAGTGGCTTCTGCTCCGTAGAAGTACAGCTGGGCAACCCATTCCGCAGCCCTACCAGTTCAGCCAAACATCAGTGTGTTCGTGGCCAATTAATTGCTTTCTGTTCCCACCAGGTAGGTTTAATCAAACTTTTTTTTACTTCTGTTGAGCTCAAAATTAAGATTTGTCTTAGCATATACAGAAAAGCTTTGCCTCCACAGAAAATGTTTTATTAGAAGCCACTGAGAACTGAGACATTATGCCCCTCTTGTTTCTACTGAATTATTACAGACAGGGATCAGTTACATAGAAATTGAAAGCCTGCTCCCCCTCTTTGTACAAATATGTCAGCGATCCAGTTCATGCTGTTGGTTCTCACGCACTACCTGCCCAGCTGGTTCAGCCCAACATCTACCTGGTGATCATCAAGTTCTGCCTTTCTGCTGATGGCTGCCTGAGCCCTTGATGTTCTAAAACCCCTGGGCACTCAGGACAGCAAAAATAGACTTTGCATGCACTTTAAACTGCTTTTACGGTCCACAAAAAGTCTTTGGACCTGACTGCCCAGATAGTGCCACATGAAGAAATCCTTGATGTTTGGGTCTTAATTGCTGAGCAAGCTGAGTTAAGTAGACGCATGTATGTTAGAGCAGCTCCTTCTGATAGGTCTAATCTCTCAGTAAACCTGTCTTCAAATCATTAACCCTGCTGGGCTGCTCAAGGACTTGTTCAGCTGACGTACACTGTTTTCTCT